AGCATTAGTTCAGAGCATCTATGTACCAAGTTTCATCAAAATCCAATGAGTGGTTGTTTAGATATCAGTGGAACAGTCATGGAACCACTAAAAAATAGCTCATTATCATGCAAATTAGGTAATTAATATGCACGGATTTTTACCAAAAATTAATCAAATCTGCGCATATGTTCAGAGCATCTATGTACCAAGTTTCATTAAAATCCAATGAGTGGTTCTTTAGATATCAGTGGAACAGTCATAGAACAGCTAAAAATTAGCTAATTATCATGCAAATTAGGTAATTAACGAGCATGGATTTTTACCAAAACCTAATCAAATCTGCGCATTGGCCCAGAGCATCTATGCACCAAGTTTCATCAAAAACCGATGTATGGTTCTTGAGATAGCAGTGGAACAGTCGGACACACATACACACATACACACATACAGACACACTAACTGCAAAGACTCCCATTTTGTGCTTCGCACATGGGAGTCAAAAACGATGATACCACTGTTTTACACTTATGTTCGTGAATTTTAAGGTTTGACAGTTACATAATATGATTTACTGATTTGTTATTGGTATATTGTGATATTATTTCTTGTGTGATTTATCCCCATAATATGGGCTAGAATCTATCATTCAGATTATGTGTAATTATAGTTTATATTTAAAACAGTTATCAACACACACGTATAAATTCTTGGTCTTATATTAATTAAATATATACAGTAACAGTAAAACTGCACTTGAATTGAATGACATCACTTTTACAAAAGAACAAAGTATTTGAGTTGCTAAACACTGGGAACAAAAGAATCATTGTCCTATTTTTTATAATATTAATAATAAATACAAGTTTATGTAGCGTCTAGTATCCATCGCAGTGATGCTTAATTACGCTTTTTTTACACTACAGTATGGCAGCACACGTCGTGCCATACTGTTCAATAATCCCACTTCACATGATCAAGAAGTACCCCAGCTGCCTGCTCCAAAACATTTGCTATACAAATTCATCTGCACTATGAAATTTGATGTGGCGTGTTGATTGGTCACATTTTTAATGAGTAAATTATTTATTCATGTGATTATTTACATGAGTTATCGGCAGTAAAAAACAAGCACCTTTCAATTAAAGAACTGAAGATATGATTAGAAAATGCGGTTTTCAACAAGAAGTTGAAAATATCACTTTTTACCAAAAATGACAAAAATATTCAACAAAATTAGAGAAGTAATGGTATCATCACGAAATGAATAAATCTAAGAGAGATCTGCCCAAGGTACATATACAACAAGTATCAAAGCAATTGTAGTTTTCAAGCAGAAGCTGAAAAAGTTGACATGGACGACGCA